TTCAAAATAGCAAATTTTCATAATTTAAGTATGAATGTTAAGACAACATATGTGTGTAAAATCTCAGATTGTCTCTCAAAATTTCAAGATGTCTTGGTGTAACATTTAGTAATACTGTTCAGGATTTTTGTCAATGAAAAAAATCACTGTCTGGCTTTATGATTTTTTTTATTTATTTATTTTTGCTTTTGCTGTTATTGCAATGCCCAAAACGTCCACTAGAGGAAGAAGTTTGATTTTTAAAGGCAGAGAAGAAAATGAGTGATAGCATAGCAGATCCAAGTCTGTCTCTAAGGTCATTTCAAACAAGAACATTGTATTTTCAGGACAACATATTTGGGAGCAGAGTTATTGATCATTAGGCAACAACAGTGTTCATAGTCTAGGAACTATGAGAAACATTAAACTTGGAAAAGGAAGATTATAAATAAAAACATGTTTTCTCTAATGTAAAAGAAACACTCATAACCATGTTAACAAAAATGTCTAAAAATCTGTTTCTAGTTTAGCCTTTCTCAGATCTCTTCAAGGAAAAGGATATCTCAGTGATAACCTCAGTCAAATGGCATTTGTGATTAGAAGCTGCTGCTGCTATTACAATCCTGAGCACATGTAAGGGACATCTATGCTGAGGTAGGCAGGAATGGTATTTTTGTAAGGCACCAATGCTGTCTAGCTGAGATTGTCACTAGAAAGATTTCAGAATTAACACTGCCTAGGATGCCACTTTTAGTTAAACTGTCTGTAACAAACAAGAGGGCTGGGGAAAAAAATGCTTATGAGGAGATTCATGCCCAGAATGCTAATGATAGGAAGCAAAAATCTCAGAAAGCATGTCAATATCTAGACTGGAAAATAGCCTTTATTGGTCCATTTCAGACTATGAGTAAAACAAAAATGCACATGTAAATAGACAGCTTCTACTTTATATAATAAAAAAAAATCCAGCAAAGTTTTTTTAACTCTGTTTTGTGGTGGAAGTGTCTTCGATAAATACAAGCTACTGATCTACATGCCATGTTCTCAAGGACCTGACAAAGAGGACAGAGAGGACATGAGCTCACAAATTTCACACCTTGTGAGAGACTACCATAGTCCCTATGTATCAAGCAGTCTTGTGGCAATATCACATGAGAGCTGGAGTGCCGGTGGTGTCGTGGGAAGGGACCTCTCCTCACCTAAGCAGGTGACATCACTGTGTGGACCTCCAGCAGGTGCTTAAAACCTGCACAAGCCATGAGGAAGCTCCTGAACCCCTCAGAGGTTCCTTTACATCTGCTAGCAGTTCATGCCTCATGGGGCCAAATGCTGGTTGTATTTTCACATTTGCTGATGATCCTCAGTCTTGTGCTGACTTCCTTGCAGTTCACCTGTCAGCTGCTCCTTTCCCACRCAGCTGCTTGTTTTAAAACCCTTCTCTGCCTTGCCTGTCTCTCTTCTGGACACTGTGTAAACTTATATCTAATTTCTTCCTGAAATTTATCTTGATCTTTCTGTCAACAGATCATTTAAAAGGATATGAGGGACCTACTCTGGTCTTGGGCCTTAGGACTTGCAGCAGGCACAGGCAAGAACACTTCATCACCCTATTCTTCACTGTGCTGACATCATCTCCTCTGCCAATGCTGCTGATTCTGGCCCAGGTTACTACACAGCTTTTCTAGTGTTACTAGGATTGTGGGATAGAGCTGAAGAATCTCCTGAAGTTACAATACTAGGCACAGGACTGTGGAAAATGAGGCATATTGCTGGTCTGTGAGGACTAGTGCTTTTCATGATAATCTGTGAGAGCTATGAGTGGTGGAGAAAAAAAAGCACCTACATCAGAAACTGCCTACCTGTACAGGATGCCTGTTTCAGTCTGTTCTGACAGATGCCTCTGCAGAGCTCCTGCACAGCACTAGGCCATCCCAGCAGTGTGGGGACCAGTGGCTCCCTGACACACTGACCTGCCCCTCACCTGAGTGAGAACTCAGCAGGCAGTCTCCAGGCAAGGCACTGGTCGTGAGCCTAGCGGCGTCAGGAACAGGAAGGATGAAAGAGGCATCACCCAACATTATGTTGCTTCTAGCAGGACACAGAGCCAGTGGCACAGCCCAGCCCTGCTCCTGTTAGGGCTGGAGGCAAGTTTTACCTCATCAAGAAACCCAGTATCTAATAAACAGAGTTCTCTTCCAACATTCCTGCAGCCACCTGAAACTGATGGAGGGTCTTGACCTGCACCCCCTCTGATGAAACTCTTACTGCCGTGAGGGGCATTTCCTTCTCCCCTGTATGCAGGTCAGCTACCTCTGCTGCTGGGGACATCAGGAGAGACAGTGTTTTGTGTCACAGCGCTAGCCAGGGCCATATAGGCCACCCAATTCAGAGCTCAGCTCCAGCCATCCTGCTCAGGAGGACCTAGGCAGAAAAGGATCTACATCAGTATTCCTCCTACCCATCTGAAAGTTGTTCTCTGAACACAGGGTCATAAAGCCTTGGGCAACAGAGTGGCTTTTCTTACCACTGTGAGCACTGTATCTGCTTGGTCTTCCCTCTGCATGGCTGCCCCTTCTTCAGTGAGTCACTGGGTCGAGAATAAGCCACCCAAYCTGGAAGGGTTGGAGGGGAATCTAGGCTCTTCCCCACTTTGCAAATATTTTTGCACCTTTTTGCTCATGCACTGGCTTGTGTTTTACAGTCCCTCTTCAGTGAAGACTAGTTGGCATAGTCTTCACACTAAAATCAGAGCTTTCCCCACTCTGTCTCATTCTCTTCTTTGCCATTCCCATTTGGATCTTTGAGGCATTACCTTGGTTCCTCCTCTGACCAGAGGAGACACTTTTTCGCCACATGTCTGCAAAAGGTGCTGATAAACCAGTATGTGTACCCAGAAGTCCTACTTACTGTTTCCCTGTGCTTCCATTTCAACAGACAATAGCTACATGACTAACAGTATTGCTGGTCCAAGAGAAATATGACAAAAGTACAACAGGTTCAAGGGGGATTCATCGTGCACAGAAGCAGTATTTTTCATGACTTCAGAAAACTGAGCAGCATACAGAATTTGTTCGAAGAGGGATATTTCTGTGTATCAAACCTGCAGATTAAAGCAGGTCTACCTGAGTCATGAAAAGTTGTATTTCAATCTGCACAATAGATCCAAACTGCTATTTGTCTCAAGGTGACTCTTCAGCTGAAAATCCTTGCCTGTGACCAAGGCTCAGCTATTAAAATTCATTGTTAGGAGCACTGCCAAAAAGTCTTTTCTGCCACTCACAGCAGAGAAGAAAATTGAATTATTTCCACCCCTAAGTCTGCAAGTGCATAATAATAAATTCTCAGATGTTTTAAGGCTGTGTATTTTTTTTTTTGTAATCCTTACCCAAGAATCTTCTCTTCCATCTAACCACTTCTTGTATTTTTCATTAGGCTTCCTGTTTTTGGGAAGAGTTCTCTTTATCAGTACCCTTAGAATCAAAGAGGAAAATATATGTGCATGTTAGATAGATGGACTGTAAAGTTCATAAGCTATTGAAAGCTCACCAAATGAACATTTTATAGAAAATATTCTCCATATTTGCTGTATGTGTGTGTGCACCTGCACAAAAACATAAAAACAGGAATTTGGCAGAAATTAAAGACTATTTTATGGACCAGTAGTGAAAACTGCTTTACCTAAAAAAAAWTTTCTGCTTTGGAATTTGTGAAGAGCTCCTCAGGAGACACAATCCTACCCAGAGTTATATGGGCACCAAAAGAGTGTGTATTTAAGCTATGCCAGTGCTTTCCAAGAAAAATGTTGTTGTTTTCTGTTTTGTTTGGTTTATTCAGCAGTGGTGTCCTAGTTTATGAAGAGACCCATGTTGCTATGGCAATAGAAATCTCAGCAGTAATACTTAGCGGTGAACTTGCCCTCCAGGGGATGTTTAGCTACCCCTGCAGCTACTTCCACTGATTTTATCCGGGTACAGGTAAGTACATAATAAGAGTCTGCCTTACCTGAGCACAGGAGCTGTGATTATCCTTTGCGCGAGGTGGCAGAAAAAGAAAACACTTCAAATTCTTCCCCTACTGCCCTGCACACCTTCAATTAAGGAGACTACCTTCAATTAAGGATACTTACTACCTCAACTATATCAACTATATTTAAAAAAAACACTCCTGCAAATGGTTAACACACGTGTGAATGATCCAAAACCAACCATCTTTTACTACCTGAATACTGTCACTTTAACTTCTCTCCCCATTTCTAAAAAATATTCACCAGAGGAAGTGCCAGAAGACTGGATGCAGAGAAAGGAAAACCATGAAAMAAAACATCCTAAAAACATAGCGTTTCTTCCCCCCTTTCTGCTTTTATTTTTAAAAGAGGATTTTTTCCTCAACAAAAGCACAACTGCTTTAGGAGAAAAGATCAAGTCTAAGACTAGAAGGAAAAAAAAAGGAAATGAATTTATTAAAAAAGTATTTAAATAAAACAAAGTCCATGCCACCTGACAAATACGTACCAGTGGTACATCACATTTCAGCAAAATAATTTTGCATTTCTATGAGAATAAGTAATTTGAAGAATCTGGCTTTTGAAATCTCACCAAGTAAATGTTTGAGAGAAAAAAAAAAAAAAAAAACAATGTTTTCATAACCTTATTTCACTATCGTTTTTTGCAAATCTTTAAAGTTACTTTTGTATTCTTACTTTGTTTTGAGGAATACAATTATTTGTTTTCCTGGAGCCCAAAATGTTGAACAGATTGTTTTACCACAAGTATTAGAGTTATTAATAAAGTTCCTTCAATTTTCAATCAGTCTCAAATTCTGTTAGTGCAAGTCAGAAATAGTAGCTCACTGATGTCAGAAAGCCTTTGACAGAATCAATATTTGAACTATGAACCAAAATATGATTACAGTACCCTATTCTAATATTATGGTAATATTAAAATGCAAATGGCTTATCCCTCCTTCTGTATGCCCAAGTGTTTAAAATGTCAACCTCGACCAGCGATTATTCTGAAAGAGCAGGGATTACTCATCTTAGAAGTACAATATAGTAAGTATGATCTTTATTCAGAGAATGGTAAAAGAATTGTCAGTCCACTTTGGAAAATGAAGACTCTTAACAATTTTAAAGCTTATTTTGATGACTGAAATCTTATGAAATCCAAAAACAGTATGTTTAATAAAAATTACGTTTCAGAACTTAAAGCATATTTTATTATTGAATACAAAAATACTATCTATGTAAAAACAATAAGTTAGTTTATTTACAGTACTTTACACTATTCTGCTCTAGGGCTTCCTTGATATTGGATTTATTTTCATTGTTTTACATGCCTTTATAATTTTGCACAAAGCATTTCCAAGAGCATATCATCCATGTTCACTGTGCCAATGATAGGTCTAAAGAACAGTTCAGCAACTACATTAGCATTAATAGATCTTAACAAGGATAAAACAACATTCAGCTTGGCAAATCTGGCTTCATCACCTCTGTGAATCAATCTGACATGTTCATTTAGAGCTTGTTGTGCTTCCCTTTGCAGTCCTTCGATATACTGTGTGCACTGCAGTCCAGGTAGATCTGAAAGAAAAACAGGGAAAGGTAAATTATGTTGTTTGATTAAGTTTCATCATTTTAAAAAAACAACACTTCTAAAGAACAACTAAGGGTTTACAGTTTATGTTTATCACACATGCAGTGAAGCAAATAATATGGCTAAATTACTTTTTGTGCCAAATTTCTATAGTTCACTACCTTCTCATGTTTTTTGATACTCCTCTTTGCTATGCAAATTTGAAATTGTGTTTTAAAATATTCCTGTTTAAAAAAAAAAAAGTTATCAATTCAAGTTTCTGTTTTAAGAAGGCTATCCAAAATACTTTCACCATGACAAATGTCTAAGTTGCAGAGATAGCAATAAAAAGAACTTAAYTGTTAACTCATTGACACTTTTATAAATGCACTGAGTCTGAAGAATCTTTTTGACAACTGCTTTTGACTTGCTCCATAATACAAGTGTCAAAAAGTATTAAGTCTAACACAGGACAGAAAGTTTCACAAGGCACCAAAGTACGGATCGTGAAAGACTTGAGAGATATAAAATCTTTCACTTACTGTCCAACAGTTTGGCAGGGTAAGAATCAAGAAGTTCAACTTGCCAGCTACATTTCAGGCAAGTAACAATGATAATCACTTGATAGAGCTCTACCTACAGAAGTCTTTACATAAGGTGATAGTTTAAAAAAAAAAAAAAAAGTAGTAATAATAATAAAAGTGCATCAAAATAGCACTTCCCGAGGCCTGAAAGCCAAGAGCTTTGTCCTGTTTTTTTGGCACTGTTGGGAACCCCCCTGGTTTAGCTGCGCAGCCGGTGATGCTGCGCTACACAGGTTGCACTGGGAGGCTGCGGCCGCCGAGCGCGCCATGCACAAACAGCCGGGGGGCAGCAAGTGCCTCCCAACTTTTCCGGAATAACTGACACGGATCCGCTTTATTTTTAGGAAGGGTCTGCGGAAGGCACCAGGCCCGGCAGCGGCGCTTCCCGACCGAGCGGCGCGTTAAGGGCCCGTGAYGGGCAGGCGGCGCGGCCGGTAACGGGCAGGCGAGGGACGCCGCGGCTCCCCCTGCCCCTCACAGAGCCGCAGGTTGGGAGCGGGGGATACTCGGTCTCCCGCTGGGCACAGACCTCCCCGCCCGGCTCAGCCGGGGCTCCTGGCCGCGTTCCCCCATGCCTGTTCTCCCGCTCTTTCCCGCCGCCTCGGGAGGGGCGCCGGTGCCGCCACTCACCCGGGTTGAAGAGCACCGTGCCCTTGAGGTACGCGTACTCCTTGGTGCTGATGTCCAGGCTCCAGCACTTGGCCAGGAAGCCCTTGATGGCCTGGATGTGCCCGGCGGCGGCGGGCGGGTGCTGCTCGCCGTGGCGGCGGCCGCTGAGGATGCGCTGCAGCATGCTGGGCTCCGCGCTCTCCACCGTCTCCAGGTGCACGCGCTCCTGCGCCAGCCCCAGCACGAGCAGGGGCGCCCAGCAGCTGCGCACCAGCAGCAGCTGCTCGTCGGGCGGCAGCCCCTGGAAGCAGGGCACGTTCCGCACGAAGCGCAGCGTCTTCACGAGCACGGCCGAGGCCGCCTTGCAGGCCGCCTGCGGGCACCTGAGCGCCACGCGCCGCCGCGCGCCGCACGAGCAGCCGCCGCCCGGCTGCGCCCGCCGCGCCCGCGGACCCGGCCCCGCGGGACACGGCGGCCGCGGCGGCTGCTGCCTCCTCTCCGGCTGCCCCTGGCTCTTGAGGATGCTGTAGAGGATGCTGCCGTGCCGCCGGCCGCCCGCGCCGCAGCGGCAGCGCTCTGCGCACGACATGGCGCCCGGCGGTGCCTCCTGCTGCTGCCGCTGCCGCTGCCCGGCCGGGCCCGGCGCGCCGGGGAGGAAGGCGCTGCTGCTCGCCCTCTGCCGCCGCTTAACTTATATATAGCCTGTGTGCGGGTGCGTGCGTGTGTGTGTGTGTGTCTGCGCGCGGCCGCGTCTCAGCGGTTCAAAGGGGCAGACACTCTTTACTGGCTGGAAAAGAGAGAGAGGAGGGAAGGGAAAGAAGAAGACGGGAGAAAAAAAAAGGGGGGGGGAGAGAAGAGAGCCCTCCTCCTGCTTTCCCGAGGCGGCGGTGCCTAGAGGGAGCCGGCGAGCTGTGCGCCTGTGCCTCGGGGCCTCGCCGTGGCAGAGGCGAAGCGCCTCGCGGCCCCTCTCCTCTGCCGGGCGGCCCGTGTTGGGTTTTAGCAGGGCTCCTGGGGATGTCGAGGGCAGCACGACACGACGGCTCCTTTTGTTTTCCCATGCTTTTGTTTTCCCCGGARAGGCGCTGACCTGCCTTTGAGGGACAGCAGATCCCGGACCCCATTCCCCCTTCTCCTGCCCCACATAGTGGAGAGCAGTGAAGCAGGAACAAGAAAATGTTGACGGGAGAAGAGGAAGGACTAGGAGGGGGGATTACTCTAAAGAATAACCAACCCCCCTCCACAGGAGTGGAAAAAGGGACCATTGATAATGGTACCAAGAGCTCCTGTGATGCCTGTTGTAAGCAAYGTGGCTTCAGGGGCCCAACACTCAGGCTGTGTGGGGAGGGAGCAGCCCAGGGACATGTCTGTGGGGCTGAGGTTGGGGAAGGCACAGGCAGGATCCTGACCACCCAGGGTCACCTCTGTGGGGCTGGAGTGCTGATGCGGTCCTGACACATTACCCAAGGGCTGGCACCTCAGCTTTCTGCTTTCACATTCAAAYTAATTAAAAATAAGTGCAGCAGAGAATAGTGCTTGCTTGCTACAGGAAATAAAGAGTTACTTGTGTGTGCCACATGTGGACTAAAACATAAACATTATTGGTTATGTGTTTCATGTGCACTAGAAGTTTGGCACAGATTTAGAGGAACTAGCTGGCTCCAAGTAGCACTCTACCTGTTCCATCAGTATCTGCTKCCAAGGGAAGTCTGCATTGCTCCTGGAAAGGCTTCTTTTCTTTCAATGTCTGTTTTTAATAAGATACCAGTGGGTGCTTTGAGCTCTGTAGAAGCATAACAGCAGGACAGATCTGAACAATTTCTCTCTCTCTGAAATGGCCTTACATGAGTAGCTTACATAGATATAGAGTTATATAGCCATTTCTCTCCAGATAGTCCTGCACAATTGAACTCAGAAGAGTATTTCTTACAAAGGGTGTATATTTAACATGAAGCACTGGGGGAATATTTGTCTCCTGTATTCCTTGTTTACCAAATGCACATTGTCCAAAATGCATGTTTTTATAATTATCTTCAGTTGTGCATCTGTAATGCATTGTATAATTTGAATTAGCTGTATTAAAATATTATTGTATCAACATTTCCTTAAGCAGTCTTACACTTTTCCAGCATGGACGTTTCAGACCTTTGACTGAGGGTTCTAGCTATTTTTTCCACAGCCCGAGTGAGATAAAGCCCTTTCTTGGCTCGCAGCAGTGGAACACTGTTAGTTTGTGCTGGTAAGCCTAATGACTGCAGTTTACAGATGCACGAGTTACTTCCTTGGACCAGAAAACAATGATATTTCACTGAATATATTTTCTTTTGTTTACTGTAAGTAGAATTCAAAAATAAATTTAATTTTGCCAATTTTGTCATTTGGATCATTGGAATCATTAGAAAGTGGAAAACACTTGTCTGTTTGTCTAATAGTATTTCCTTACCATTTAGACTGCTCTCTTTTCTAAATATTTTCTCAACATGCTATGATTTTAGTCTTTTTTCTTTTTAGCAATTTTTTTTTTACATTGACCAAGAGATGAAACTTGCCAAGTCTCAGTAGCACTTCTCCAATGAAGGAGACTAACCTGGGCTAACCGAGGAATCTTAACTGCACTTTTTATTAGTTTGTGACTTGGAAGGTGTCTCAGGGCTCATGGTAGAGCTCAAGTTCAAATCATTGTCTTTACAGTCCTGGCCTTGGCTTCAATTGTGGGAACACTCTGCTGTTTCTGGGACAGTGCTGCTTCCTCAGGGCCGTATTTTAAAAGTACAAAGGCACTGTGTATCTTTTATACCAGCTGTACAATTGAAACTTTTGCTGATGTAGTCGTGTTGGTTGCAGGTGTTAAATTTTTCAAGGCATTTCTCTTCCAGACGAGTTTCAAGTGTAGATGCAGTTCTACTATCATATAATGGTTTTGCTGACACAGTTCATTTCATTTTCTGAACCAACCAATACAGAAAGGATATAYGATGCCAGAAGTTACATTACTACAGCTAAAAGTGTACCTGCTTCTCTCATGAGTGCAGGTAAGCTCTCATTTCCTCTTTTTCTAACTCTTCATGTGYCTAAAATGCACGACAGTTTATTCAGAGCACATCCTCATAGTCTCTTTATCATCTAAAAAAACTAAAATGTCATAGAAATATTTATTAATGTTTCTTATACTGATATTTAACAAGCAGTTTGAGTAGTCCTTATTTAACTTCCTACAATTATTTATTCATAATCAAGCTAAATTAAAACCAGCTGTTTTCTCTGTAAAAACAAGATGTCAACAAAATTCCTACAAGCCAGCATTTTTTTGACAAAAATACATTAAAAAACTTTTAGCAAAATGAGAATATGCCTGTTTTCAGCTGAAAGATGTAGCATTGTGCAAGTGTTTTCAAGCTGCAAATCGTGCAAACATTAATAGATTTACATGCTTCCAGATAAAGATTTACTTGTTTGTTTGCTTTTTTAACTCGCACAGAAGCCTTGGATATGAAGGTGATACAGTGCAATCTTACACTTTCATGTTGCTCTTCAGTGCCTCGGTATCGCTCATCTGGTAGCACATTTGGTACTTGGCCAGAGGGCAAGACTTCAGTTTCAGAACAAGATCAGCACTTGTTTTTATGCTGTTGGTGCTTTAGTGCACTATTAGTTTGAGAGATGTTTTCTTCTCCAGTGGGGAACTGGCTCCTCTTATCCTCTAAACACCTACTGATCCTACCAGTATAAATGCTGAAAAATAWAATTTGATCCTAAGATCAGACGTAAAACTCAGTTTAGTGATTAGCACAGTAGGTTTTTGTTTGGTTGTTTGTTTATTTTTCTCTCAGGAAAAAAAGAGGTTTAATGTAGAATTCACTATTACAAAGATACAATTGACAAGATTTCTTTTGCTTCTGGCCAAAGAGAAGTAGCCCATAAAAACAAAGGTCTGGAATTTAAGTATAYGGTTATATTTCACAAGTGCAACCATCAGTTTGTCAGACTGACTTCCATTTACAGCATTCCTATTTAACTGAGATGTTTACTTGAAAACAACCCAGGGTTRGGTGCCAGGCACTACCAGTAGCAGTGCTCTACCTTTATGCCGCACTGTGTTTTCCTCCTGGCCCTGTTGCCTCTTGATTTGCGGTGAGTTCCTTAGGAGCAGCATATTAGGAGCCTGATTGATTCTGCCCAAGTTCTGTGCACAGACATACAATGTCAGCCTGAATTTACAGAGCTTTTACAGGTGTCCTATGGCAGTGATTTGACTGCCTTTGCTGCATTCTACCATCAACTCAGTGTATTATTTTTTTCTCCATCAGGATATGCATACGGTGTCACTGTTATGGAATTAGTCAGARTATATATAATGAAGAGTGAGAGACTTTTATGCCACTGCTGGGCATATCACCTATCTAGGTGATATCAGATCCAGTGTAACCTATAGTGTTGCAAAGTCAACGTTTCCTTATTTCTTAAATAAATTCAAACCATCAAAAGAGATTTTTGCCAGATCGGTACTTTGCATCATGTGGCCCATCTTGGGTCCAGAAGTAAGAATACTGACTTGGAATTTACTGTTACTGGCCTGTACACTTGTGCCATATTTGCTGTGGCAGATAGCCAGTTTATGGAGTCCCTTATATAAAGCAGACATTTTTTCTCCTTCCCACATGCTAATTTACCTTGGTTGATGCAGCTGGGTTTCAGGGAAAGGTGGAATTAATGGAAAGTGAAGCAACTGCAAATTTGTTCCAGTTAAAATAAACCCATCAAGAAAGATAAAGAAAAGCTTTGGACTTTAAGGAGTTAATGTTAATGGGGCCCTTGGGATCTCTGCTTCAAAGTAGAGCTATGGGTCCCAGTAATCTAAAACTGTAAATTAAAGTATTGGGTTAGGGACAAGTCATTTCACTTTGCAAATGTAACTAATCATTTCTCCTTTTAGAGTTCATATTGTCAATGTGTCCGTGTATCAGGCTTCAAGGTATCGTCCCGTGGGTCAAGCTGAGCCAGCTTGTTGGAGCTAGAAGAAGCTCTCAGCTATGCACTTGCTGCTTGCAGCTGCTGTCCTCATGCTAGCTCTGGCATTTAACTGACTCCTCAACGAGTCAAATCCTTTCACTAAGCTGGCAGCCTCTTTACAAAAGTCACTGCAAGAAAGATAGCAAAGAAATTAGATAGCTTGAAACATGTTCTCCATACTTTATTTTCTTACAGATGTTTCTGAAGGTCTTGYGTAACCCGACTAACTACACACCAAATCTGATACAACATAATTTTGTTTGTTTGAATCAGCAAAAAAGTAACCTATCCAGCAAAAAGAAATGGGTAATTTTCTGTCTGTTTAGTGAACTGAGCTGATTCGGCAAGGGATYAGATGAGTGCTTGAGCAGGACGAGAAAGATGAAAGGACACAGCGCTGTTGCAAGCCCTTATGCCCTTCAGCCTCCATGTGGAACTCCTGCAGGAGGGAAAACCCTAGATCTTCAACAGGGAAAAGGGAAGGTATGGGCAGAAAGGCAGGGGGTTGGACTGGCTGATCTCTAGAGGTCCCTTCCAACCTCAACCATTCTGTGATTCTGTGACTTGTAGCAATCTTTGTTT